TCTTTAACCTATGTCTGTGCCAGTGTCCTCTACGCCAGCGGTCCCCAGACTCCTTGGAGTCGCGACCCACCGGAATTCCAGAACGAGGTATTTTCAAACTAATCATGACGTGAAGAAAACTGATAGACCATTTCTGCGGGGCATGCTTTATCCTGTACCGATGCGGGTGGCGATTTTTTTATTTGGGAAAATGTACGCGACCCACAACTTGGAAACCGCTGCTCTACGCAAATGTATGCTCGCCCTTCTTAGAGAAGAGAGGCATGCTCAGTCAGGCGCTAATTGGATACAACCCATTGAGATCTAGTGTTGTGGAATGAACGTCTGGTGAACTGACCCTTCCCTCCTTTGGACTGTGAGTGTCGCGTGTGCTGTTTTAGGGCATGGAATGGACTTCGGTAATTCATATCTAGCTCGAATTATCCTCAACCGATCAGGAAATTGAAACTTAATGAAAACATAAATGTACTGATACTAGACAGTCCTCCTAGCAGGTTGATCAAGGATTAGGCTTGGTCTCGGTCCTCTTGAAATCAAAAGTACTTGTGCATGTGAACCTTTCTGCTTTAGGAACAAGCTTTAAGCAGAGGTAATCTTGGTTAGACTAAAAGCCAGCTACGTACAGTTTCTAGCATTAAATTTAAATAATTTAGTATAAAAAGAATGTGTTTATCTCGTCAGTTGGTGAATGTCACTCTATATTTTAGGTAGGAGTTTGTTAGTAGAATTTTCAGAGGGGTGAATTTACCTATGAGAATCTGCTCCTTACTGGTGGGCTCGAACAATAGGATTTTTAATATTAAGAAGATATAGGCAATGATATGGGGGCAGCAACTCACGACTGTTTGCGATTCCTCTTCCCAAACATATTGCCTCATGCAATGTATTAATAAGTTCCACACTTACTTGTTCTGCTACCTCTGCTGAAGGTGTAAGTTATCGTTATCGTGTCCGAACACAAATATTTGGCTTGCAGAAACAGTTGTTAGGTGTCATTGCATTCTCTTGCAGGTTACCTAAATAATTTTGGTTCAAGCATATCTTGCAGAACGAAGACATTTGGTCAAAATGTAATTACGGCCCATTTGGTTTAACTGGCTCATTCATAGCACCAAACATCGCACATCAGGTTCGTCGAAGGCATGTTTCTTCCTGAAAAAGGACTCACATTTGCACCACCCTGTAATTTCCAGNGGCCCCCATATAAGAGTGGAAGAGGGGCTTGCGAAATTTTGTCTGAGTGCCATGAAAGACTTTGATTCAACTTTAATTTTTAGTTGGCATATCGTAGTGATAGAGCCCTGTTTCATCAATATTTACGATATCAGAGACACGTTTTTGCGCCTTAAGTAGAATTTTAGAAGCAGCATTTTGCAGAAATTCTCTCACGTCTGGTTTGCTCCGTCAGACAGGTGTTTTGGGCTACTATTTTTCTAGTTTTCAAATGTTTGTTCATAATTTTTTATATGCTGCCGCTTTAATGCCAACAGTCTCTTCAAGGGCAAGGTAGGTTATTTTTGGGCAATTTTCAATTAGATCAGGGGTGTCAAACATACGGCCCGCGGGCCGGATCCGGCCCGCAGAGGTGGTTCATCCGGCCCGCCGTCTGTTTCTGAAATTTTCCGCATGGATTGAGTGTCAGCACAAATTTAAGTGAAATTTTATGGGTGCGGCCCGCAAGCATCTGCAGGGTAAGGAATGCGGCCCGCAAGCATCTGCAGGGTAAGGAATGCGGCCCGCCGACCGATTTGAGTTTGACACCCCTGAATTAGATGATTGAGTTTCTCCAGATTTGCATCAATGACAGTTGCTTTTTGACGCCCTTCACTAGGTACATTTTCCAGATCAGTCTGACAACACAGGAACAGTGAAAATCAGTCATACACAAACTTTTTATATGTTGGCACTCGGAACATTTTTTGGAGCTTGAAACTCCAGGAACGATTGCATGAAAATCACAGCAACACAACTGAACCTCAAAAGATGGGAGAGGGCTCATGTTTTCGCAAAAATCGGGCACTCGTGCTAGGCAAAAAAATTATGCAAAAATTCAATGGAGCTTCTAAAACCCTATAGAAAAAAAGAACACTTCAGAACTTCAAGTCACTTCAGAACAACGCACGTACTTGCAAGTGCGACTGACATATAAACTCTGTCAATGTTGGAGGTTTTCCCTGAAGAGAGATCCACTATTTCTGATTCAGCTTTAAAATTCCAAACTTCACATTTATTCATGTTGCAGGCCTGCTGTTGTTGCATCTGTCGAACACTTTCAGCTACACAATCTTATTGTGGGGCCATTCCTACCCCCTCGGGGGTAGGAATGGCCCCACACCACTTTCCGTTTAACGCCGAGCGCCAGGCGAAGAATAGTCGGTGTGTACCCAATGGTGTGTACCTGGGTGAGGCGGCGGCCAGGCTCGAAGCCTGGCCTCCTGGACGGCACGCGGACGCTCTACTTCGTAGGCCATACCACCAGTTGATTTTTATCGTGGTTAAAAGACGTATCCGTTTTGTTTTCCTTGAAGTGAAATAAAACGGCCTCGGGGAAGGAAGCCAGACGTGTCTGGATGGTGTGTACGCCTTTTATTGCTACGTCGCGTTTTTCCTTAACCTATGTCTGTGCCAGTGTCCTCTACGCCAGCGGTCCCCAGACTCCTTGGAGTCGCGACCCACCGGAATCCAGAACGAGGTATTTTCAAACTAATCATGACGTGAAGAAAACTGATAGACCATTTCTGCGGGGCATGCTTTATCCTGTACCGATGCGGGTGGTGATTTTTTATTCTGGGAAAATGTACGCGACCCACAGCTTGGAAACCGCTGCTCTACGCAAAATGTATGCTCGCCCTTCTTAGAGAAGAGAGGCATGCTCAGTCAGGCGGATAATTGGATACAACCCATTGAGATCTAGTGTTGTGGAATGAACGTCTGGCGAACTGACCCCTCCTTTGGACTGTGAATGTCGCGTGTGCTGTTTTAGGGCATGGAATGGAGTTCGAGCTAGATATGAATTACCGAATCATCCTCAACCGATCAGGAAATTGAAACTTAATGAAAACATAAATGTACTGATACTAGACAGTCCTCCTAGCAGGTTGATCAAGGATTAGGCTTGGTCTCGGTCCTCTTGAACTCGTAGTTTTCATGAACACGTACACTTGGAAAGACGAAATCCTTGTTCGAAATTCGTCTCCATTAGAACCAATCTGATTTTCGGTCGATGCATGTCAAAGATCGTAATTTAAATTTATTAAATCATATTTAAGAATGTGTTTATCTCGTCAGTTGGTGAATGTCACTATATTTTAGGTAGGAGTTTGTTAGGTAAATTCACCCCTCTGAAAATTCTGCTATGAGAATCTGCTCCTTGCTGGTGGGCTCGAACAATAGGATTTTTAATATTAAGAAGATATAGGCAATGATATGGGGGCAGCAACTCACGACTGTTTGCGATTCCTCTTCCCAAACATATTGCCTCATGCAATGTGTTAATAAGTTCCACACTTACTTGTTCTGCTACCTCTGCTGAAGGTGTAAGTTATCGTTATCGTGTCCGAACACAAATATTTGGCTTGCAGAAACAGTTGTCAGGTGTCATTGCATTCTCTTGCAGGTGACCTAAATAATTTTGGTTCAAGTATATCTTGCAGAACGAAGACATTTGGTCGTTTACATTAATGCCGGGTAAACCAAATTGACCGAGTAAGTATCGTGGTTTGTAGCGTGTAGTCCAAGCAACTTCCGTACAAAGAAGGACTTTTTCCTGAGTGTAAACGTGGTGGGACATTAAAGGTCGGCTCCCAGATATGGTGTGTGCATTGACTATCATGAGTTCTTAGAAAAAAAAAAAGTAACTTGCCCCGAGCACTAGTGAATATGAGCTTAATTAACACAAAGCAAACGAATATCTCACTTCGTAAACTGCCAAAGAAGACTTCAAAGTTTAAACAATTTATATACTGGTTCTCCCTTCCTATTCCAAGTCCTTGACATTCCCCCTTTATGGCGGGTAGACTTCCTCCTCACCTTCGAGGACGTTCCTACGACTATGCAAGCGCGCGAATTCATTATTCTTCGGGATTTTATGTCTCTGTCCGCCTTCAGAGATGGAGATAAATTGTAATTTACAGAATTTCAGAACTAATCTAATTCGAACACGAAAAGGATATCAAATTCGTGTGAAACTAAAACACTAATATTCACCTTTGTTTTCGTTGCAAAATATTTCAGAAATTTATTCTCATTCCAAAATATCTTGATGTCCATGCATCATATGCGACGTCTGTCAGGCGTTGTTGTATCGTCGTCTGCATCCAAATCTTGAGCCGCCTCAATTGCCGAAAAAGACACTTTGCTGATGCATGCACAAAATACGTAGCACAAAACCGCGGGCAAGCAGGAAATCCATGGCCACATATCAAAGTACTTTGCATTGAATGCCCTGCTCCCTTTTCTAGGGAAATTATATTTTTGCGGCTGAAAAGAGCCACTTTCTCTAACATGCACAGGTTCTCGTGCAATCCTGTTCGTAGGGACAAACGATAATACAACACCGTTGAAGTTTTCCATTCCTGAGTTTTCTTTTTTTTTTGCCGTCTTTGGTATCGTAATGAAATCAAAAAGCGTTCCAGTTTTAGCACTTCTCACAGTTCTCTTCCGTGACATGGCGCTGAACCTCTTTTCACTGTTCTGCCATTAAAATGTTTCAAGCCAGACTTATGACTGAAGGGGACTGACTCCAGAATCCTCTTATCTTTTCCAGGAAGGACTTTGAAGAAGGGAGGACAAGTCTAATCGGATGAGAGATCCTGGACGGATCTTGAATTACCTGAATTTTATATTCTGCCTGTAACATATCCAAACTTAATGTACAGTATATCTGGGATGCCTGCTCCAAATTTAAATACCTGTGATGGATACTTTTACGTATTCAGATCGTCGTCGAGCATTCTCGAGATCGAAGATCCTTTTTCGACTGCTTACTGTTCTGTTGCTTCCTATTTCATGAGCTTCTTCGCCTCGTGCTCCTCCTTCTTCAAGGCGAGTTCCACCCGTCGAGGCACGTCTGGGATGAGGAACTGGATAAAAATCCCTGTCAATATCGCCACGTGCTGTGGGGAAAAACCAAATTATGCCCCTCCTGTATGTTTTCCAATATGATGTAGAATGATCGCCAAGATGGTCCCAAACGTTGCACATATGAATGTTGCATTTGCTCTTGGGACTGTTGGCGAGGAACATCATGATCAGTATTTTCATGCTAGTGTTATTTATTCGAAAGAGATATCTTAGAATGAAGAGTAGCTCAGCATTTCCATCATCGATAAGTTCGAAATCTGGCAAGTATCCAAATTGTTCGTGCTGCGAACTCACTTCGAACACGAGGCAGAAGGTCAATTTGGCGATGAGGAGTTCGAGGCCGAATTTGGAATAGCGCCCCTCTTCATCGGCATAACCCCAATATCGGCAGGGTTCATCGGTCGTATTCACAGGCGCAAACGCCAGGCTGTAATTGAGAAAACGACCCAAATCCTCGTCCACAAAACTCTGAAATTTCATCTGAGCCAACACGTTCGACGTAAACGCGATCATGAAGCCCTGAAAGAACAAAATAAATATTGGTAATATTTGATTACTTTTTATTTTTCCGTCGAAGTGCTGAATGTATCACATTGATATTTGGTTCTGAAATGAATTGCTGTTTGGCAGGAAATGTTTTAGATCACACTTGTTGAATTTGTCGATCTTTGAATATATGTAAACGAAATTTTCATTTTAGCTCTGACATGAATTCCCTCTTATCATCTCGTTTGAGGTTTTAGTTCGAATGTTCGGCGTCCTCCAAATGAAGTAATTTTATTCTTACATTCGCTTTTGGAAGAGAATGAGAAATGACGAGGAAACTTTCATTGGGATTCTTCTGAGGACAAGTTGATACTTAACGTAATATGCAGTTCCTGTACCTGAACAATACTTATGTGGGGGCAGAATGAGGTACGACACAAGATTTCGCGAATTGGAGACAAGAGGATAAGAACTTCTCTGTCGACTTCCATGACCTCGAGTCTCTTCTTTGAGAGACATGCAAGGGCATTCGTTCTTATTACTTTAATCTATCGTTTCACCGAATGTTATGCCAGACTAACCTATTCCATTTCCTAACTGCCATTACCGTTACTAGCCATTATTCAAGTCAGTTACATATACAGTCAACCCTCGATATACCGCCACTCTCGCTTAGCGCCAACTCTTTCCTGAGGAACGAATCTTCCCCATAGGCTTATCATTGGCGCTCCCCCGTTATAGCGCCGCTTCTCGCAAGCCGCCATCCGCCAATACCTTGCCTTGCACAAACGTGCCTTATTCAACGTAAGTCGTACTCGATATAGCGCCAAGCGGCATACCGTACCAGCTACAATGATCGTACCATGCACTACCGTGGTGGAAAAAAATATGACATGCTCTCAGCTTTTCCGTTCAGCGATCGTTTGATAACGAGATTGTGAGGGATGACTTAGCTTTGGCACGACGCCAGGGATTAGAGGGGGGCGTAAGGGGTCTCTTAATCTGACCTAATCCCGTCTCTCCTTTTCTTTCTTTTGGAGAATGGAAACGCCTCTTTCGGTTCAAAGTTTCTCCAGACGATTGTTCAAGTGTGTTCACTATCCAGTAATGGGGGAAAGGACAGTTATAAGTGTGAGGGAAAAAGTGAAGCTATGTCGCTACAAGGAAGCACATGCGGCCGAAAACATTGCGAATCATTTTTCTAAGCTGTGTAGTTTTTCTTCTCCATTGGCAGCATGGATGAATTAAAGTGGATTTTTTTTGCTAATTCTATTTTACATTTGAGTTATTTCGAAAATTTTCCGTTTTAAGGCCGCGCATTTCGATGTAGCGCCACCCTCGATAAATCGGCGTAGACCAAGAGTGGCGGTATATCGAGAGTTGACTGTATTTCCATCCATTGAAGAGTGAAAAATTTTGCCCATTTCTGGCAGCCAAAAAAAAAAAAACAAAGCTTACAAAGCTCTCGGCTTTCTCGTCACCTAATAGTGTTGTGAACATTTTTTCATTCAGAAGTTCATTTTTTTTGCTTTGCTTTTTCACAGTGGAGCCTCTGGCTTTCGAGTGCTAATGGGGCTCTTGCTGTAAACAAAGGGTTATCTAACCGATCATGAAATTTTCAGCTTGCCTCTATTGGCATAGACCGACTGGCAGGAGAAAAATTTCGTCACGATAACTGGAAGAGGAGAAGCGATCACTGCGGCGAACAAAGTACGCCGGACTCACATTGGTGAGAACGGCGGCGAAGGCGAGGAGGACGAGGATCTCGTACCAGATCCCGATCCCCCTGACGATCTCCGCCCGGGGTCGCCTCTGCTTCCGCGTGTACTTCTGGGCGTCCGTCTTCAGCTCCGTCAGGTTGTTGAGGAGGGCGAGCAGGGGGGCCAAAGGGAAGGAGGCGGCAAACATCGTCATCACGCCGAACTGCAAGGCTGGAGGAAGAAAAGGGCAGGACTTCGAGGATTTGTGTTCGAATAGCCCGCTTCTGCCTTTCCATTCCTCGAAGTGAAACGAAACATCCTCAGAAAATGCTCACCAGCAACATTGCGCCTCCACAGAACAACACTACTATCATCTGTAAAGTTTTGAATAAATGCATAAAAACTCCGACCCATCTCGAGGTACTCGGAATCCAAAGATTCCGGTTCGACCAAGCCGATATAATCAGCCTCGATCTGCGTGAGCATCCTCCTCGGCACCTCCGTGTCCCGATGCTGCCACCTCCGCTTGAGAAAGGGCCAAAGGACCTCCTGCAGCTGGCCTGCCACTTGGAGGAGCAGCAGGAAGACGACCATCTGCTGGGCTAGGTAGATCATGCAGCTGTGCAGCAAGCACTGCAATTCAGTCATGCATGAATGACACACGGACGGCACGTAACACTTCTGGAACCAGAGACGAATGAAGGACTGAAAGGAAAGCAGGTTCTCTCGGGAAAAAAGTTTTGTTTTTCAACCATCAAAAGGTAGTAGAGGAATTTTAGGAAGCAGGATTGTGTCAGGGAAGGTGAATGACGACCGGAGGGTGGGGGGGTCATGAGGATTCTTGACCGTCCTGGTAAATGCGAAGAAAAGTGCTACATAGACCAGTTTTCCACTTGCATAAACCCCGCAAACTACTGTATTATCTTTCGTGAAAAAGAGTGGTCTCTATGAACCATTTTCCTATCAGCCCTTCCTACGTCGATTGAAACAGTGAGTTCTAGAACCGTTTCGTGCCTGTAGCCAGCAATCGTGTTGTAGTGCCCTGGGTAGCCGTAGAAGTTTCCCTGGAGGAAAGCGATGTAAAAGAAGGGAAAGTAGAAGTTGAGCGACTGGATGATGAATTTCTTCATGGTGAGGTGATAATTAGCTTTGGCTTGGGTACGATGCATCTCTGCAAGGTGGAGAACCATTATCACAGTAGTCCTCGGGTGTAACTGGATTTATAAATATTACTTCTAAGTCGCTTCTTTCCCTCTTGCTTTTATGTTAAAAGTGAAAGCATAGATTAGAGGGATTTGACGAACGCCTAACTTGAATATTTGAGTAATGCAGATATTCAAGAGTCTGAAGGTGGCTCTCAATGCTCAGCGATTCGGTCATAAGTTTGTGATAAGCTATGTCATGTGCCTCCCAAATGATGCAAATTTTAGATGATGAAGAATTGCTCTTAATTATGTTTAACTCAGGCTTTCATGCGGTTTCGCCTTTCTCAGCGTGTTGTTATGTATTTATGATTTGAGCTGCCGATGCAGCACCTTAAAAGCCAAATGATACATCGACTTAGGTTCCATCACGCTGAAAATTGTCACAGAAAGAGCGAAATTTTCCTGAAATATTTTCTGAAAACTTAGTGGCGCAATAGAAAATGCGAGACACTTGTTTTGCAACTAGTCTGCCACTCTCGGCTTTTTAGGACGGATTAACCGATATCTTAACACCTCATTATTCGATAGAATATAACGTTCAACTCCTTAACGTCAATGAAGTTTCATCCGGACATTCCAAGTCATGCAACACACTGCGCCTGTTCAGTCCTACCAGTAAGAAAACTATACCTTCCTCCCCTCCCAGGGGACAAAGCAGAGCAAGCACCTCTCGCGTTGAGATAATCCGCAGCCATATCAAAGAGATACTCCATGACCTTGACGAAGACGAAGGACACGACCGCCCCGATCAACGTCGGGACATACGCCACCAACTCCGGCGCGGCCCCCGCCTTCTCCATCTCCCCCGTGAGCACCACCCTCGCGAGCACCACCCCCACGTTCCCCGCCACCAGCACCGCCACCTGCAACCACCGAATCAGCCTCCCTCGAGGGCATGACGAGGGCGTGACGATGTCGACCCACCATTCCCACGAGGGCGAACGCGGAGGTCACAACTCTGATGACCCGTTTCTGGCCGTCGAAATACGGTTGCATCTCTCCTGTTGAATCAAACGAATCGTTCTACTTGTGTTCGATGAGCATGTTACTCTTTTCATTGCGTCACACGAGAGTGGAACAGAATTAAACGCCAAAATTCAACCCGGATCTCTTTAAAGCGGTACCTTTCAATTTGCCAGACAGTTTATTATTGATTTATGATGGAGATCGAAACAAGTCTAGAGATCCTCTGTTTCACATGATACCATGCTACGAGGTGCTCAATGCCATCAGATGGCTGCCGGTCGGATGGGCGATAATTTATTGTAAAAATATGAAATACGATATGAAATACCAGTGATGGGGTCCCTGCGCTGCTCCGTGGCCATGGCTCGAAACCCGTCCGAAAGTCGATCTGTGGGAGCGATGAAGGCTTGAGTNAGCTCCGTCAGGTTGTTGAGGAGGGCGAGCAGGGGGGCCAAAGGGAAGGAGGCGGCAAACATCGTCATCACGCCGAACTGCAAGGCTGGAGGAAGAAAAGGGCAGGACTTCGAGGATTTGTGTTCAAATAGCCCGCTTCTGCCTTTCCATTCCTCGAAGTGAAACGAAACATCCTCAGAAAATGCTCACCAGCAACATTGCGCCTCCACAGAACAACACTACTATCATCTGTAAAGTTTTAAATAAATGCATAAAAACTCCGACCCATCTCGAGGTACTCGGAATCCAAAGATTCCGGTTCGACCAAGCCGATATAATCAGCCTCGATCTGCGTGAGCATCCTCCTCGGCACCTCCGTGTCCCGATGCTGCCACCTCCGCTTGAGAAAGGGCCAAAGGACCTCCTGCAACTGGCCTGCCACTTGGAGGAGCAGCAGGAAGACGACCATCTGCTGGGCCAGGTAGATCATGCAGCTGTGCAGCAAGCACTGCAATTCAGTAATGCATGAATGACAGACGGACGGCACGTAACACTTCTGGAACCAGAGACGAATGAAGGACTGAAAGGAAAACAGGTTCTCTCGGAAAAAAAAGTTTTGTTTTTCAACCATCAAAAGGAAGCTCCAGTAGAGGAATTTTAGGAAGCAGGATTGTGTCAGGGAAGATGAATGACGACCGGAGGGTGGTGGTGGGGGGGGGGGGGGTGACGAGGATTCTTGACCGCCCTGATAAATGCGAAGAAAAGTGCTACATAGACCAGTTTTCCACTTGCATACAATCCCGCTAACTACTGTATTATCTTTCGTGAAAAAGAGTGGTCTCTATGAACCATTTTCCTATCAGCCCTTCCTACGTCGATGAAAACAGTGAGTTCCAGAACCGTTTCGTGCCTGTAGCCAGCAATCGTGTTGTAGTGCCCCGGGTAGCCGTAGAAGTTTCCCTGGAGGAAGGCGATGTAAAAGAAAGGAAAGTAGAAGTTGAGCGACTGGATGATGAATTTCTTCATGGTGAGGTGATAATTAGCTTTGGCTTGGGTACGATGCATCTCTGCAAGGTGGAGAACCACTATCACTGTAGTCCTCGGGTGTAACTGGATTTATAAATATCTACTTCTAAGTCGCTTCTTTCCCTCTTGCTTTTATGTTAAAAGTGAAAGCCTAGATTAGAGGGATTTGACGAACGCCTAACTTGAATATTTGAGTAATGCAGATATTCAAGAGTCTCAAGGTGGCTCTCAATGCTCAGCGATTCGGTCATAAGTTTGTGAAAAGCCATGTCATGTGCCTCCCAAATGATGCAAATAAAATCTACTACTTCTTAACGAGAATTAATACAAATTGAGTCCGAAAGTACGCCAAAGCGGAAAGAGTCGCACAACAATACATAAATACTAAACTCGACGGCTACGTCGTGGAATTTTCGGTTTACTTACATCGACTTAGGTTCCATCACGCTGAAAATTGTCGCAGAAAGAGCGAAATTTTCCTGAAATATTTTCTGAAAACTTAGTGGCGCAATAGAAAATGCGAGACACTTGTTTTGCAACTAGTCTGCCACTCTCGGCTTTTTAGGACGGATTAACCGATATCTTAACCTCATTATTCGATAGAATATAACGTTCAACTCCTTAACGTCAATGAAGTTTCATCCGGACATTCCAAGTCATGCAACACACTGCGCCTGTTCAGTCCTACCAGTAAGAAAACTATACCTTCCTCCCCTCCCAGGGGACAAAGCAGAGCAAGCACCTCTCGCGTTGAGATAATCCGCAGCCATATCAAAGAGATACTCCATGACCTTGACGAAGACGAAGGACACGACCGCCCCGATCAACGTCGGGACATACGCCACCAACTCCGGCGCGGCCCCCGCCTTCTCCATCTCCCCCGTGAGCACCACCCTCGCGAGCACCACCCCCACGTTCCCCGCCACCAGCACCGCCACCTGCAACCACCGAATCAGCCAGGGAGCTCCCGTACTGCTCCCGCACTGCTACAGCTGGGTGGTAAGGGTGCTCCCGCTTGCGCCTCCAGTGTTGAGACTACTGGGCAAAGACCGGCAGCTTTATGCCAACGTAGAGAGGACAACTTAAAAACGCATCGTTCTAGTTGTGTTCAATGAACATGTTACTCTTTTCATTGCGTCACACGAGAGTGGAACAGGTGTAAACGCCAAAATTCAACCCGGATCTCTTTAAAGCGGTACCTTTCAATTTGCCAGACAGTTTATTATTGATTTATGATGGAAATCGAAACAAGTCTAGAGATCCTCTCTTTCACATGATACCATGCTACAAAGTGCTCAATGCCATCAGATGGCTGCCGGTCGGATGGGCAATAATTTATTGTAAAAATATGAAATACCAGTGATGGGGTCCCTGCGCTGCTCCGTGGCCATGGCTCGAAACCCGTCCGAAAGTCGATCTGTGGGAGCGATGAAGGCTTGAGTCCCCCACCGATGAGCCAGCTCCATTTCGTATCGCTTCCACATCTCCAGGAAAGCTATGGCTGCAATTCAAT